CTGATAAAGAGACGTTAATCTGACATTTTACTTCCAGATATCCATAATTCAGGTTACAATTCTAACCAGTTCGCCAGAAGCTTTTCATTTGAAAACAGAATACATGAAATGACTTAGATCCCCAAATTTCATAAATCCTCGTTTGACCAGGAGTTTACTCGATTTCGGGAGATGACTATCAACCAGTGGATCACGTGTTAGAACTCGTTGAACAAGGTTCATAACATGAATCATTGACCGCAGACATCCGATAAGGCAAGGATTTAACCTCAGTGATTATCGTGTTTTAAATTTGCTCTTGCTTCCTAAATACTCATCAGTAAATACGAAATGAAATGGAGGCTCCTTTGACTGTGTCTTTATATGACAGTTATCAACTGGGATTATTGCGATTATACAATTTTCAATACATTTGATTAAATTATTACTCCCATACTAATTTCAACACGCTTTTTCCAGTATCCTGGTTAACTCTGCAGTTTGAAAACATGATATCTGCAGGTTATATGTGAGAGTTATACACTATCAGGTACAAAAAACATAAGCAACATTAAGTTCAGTTTTTATTAATGAGTAGCCAACGAAAATTATCTTATTTGCCCTCTTTATTTGTCAGTCATAACAATAAACACAAAAGCCTGGTTAGTCACATACAGAGTTATAATGCCTATTATCACTACGATATCTAGATTACTAATAGTTACGCTGACATCAACGTCTGTCGTAATTTTAACGCCCTACATGATAGAACAAAAATAAGTAGAAACATTACATGAATATCTCATTTAAAAAGACGACTACTGTTTAGTAGTTTTTATCACTCCTATTATATAGGTGATTATGAAAAATGATAGAAAATATTTTTCACAGACATTTAATATGAATAGATGGTATTACGTTATGCTATAAAATCAAGCAAAAAAACTACGCGTTTCGTGACATAAACACATTTATAAGTACTTTCACACTGAGCATACTAATAAAAGAATATAAATCGGTACACATTTATGTACTAGGCTATGCATGAGCCACACTTGTGTGAGTTGATGATACTACCTGGTTGCAGAGACCAAAAATGGTGCGAAGATGTTTGAACCTGAGACTCACTAACACTACTTTAAAATGTCAGAGACTTATCTATGGCACAGCAAATCAGTACACACAAGTCTACTGAAGTAACATAGAAAAATCTGAATGTAGCAAACAGGATTATACAGACAAATATAAAAGCAGATAATCAAGTCTCATTCTCAAAGGTGGACGAAAACGCTATCGGGTCACGAGACCTGAAAGTTATAAATCCTTCTCATAGAGGTCCGAAGGTGGACACGGTTGAAAATAATTAGATTATGACGAAGGAATTATGAATACCCTACAGATATCAATGATTCTCCAAATGACGTTACATCACTATGAAAATAACTTTTTAAAGATTGAAGCAACTCGACTCGGTACAGGAGTTTATATAATGAGCTATGCATTACACTAATTGTATGAAGGTTTTTGATACACTCCAGTTGTCTAGGTCGAAATAGGTGGAGCCAGTTTTCAATCAATGACTCATCGGTCAAAAGTCGAGTGCTTAAGCTAACGCCTTCAAAATAACCAACTGTTTCTATTTCTACAGATTCTGGATATTCATACATTAAACATGCATTAACCTCGCCTAGTTTACTAGTCCACTAGTTACTAGCCAGTCCTAAGCCTGGGTAAAGAGGGAGGTTAGGCGTAGGGCTAGCAACCCTACCCCGTAAAAACCAATCCAACCGCTAAAGAAACTTCAAAGCACAAACAAAATATAAAACATAAAAACAAAATTATTCCTCGCTGGAATCGGAGAGACGAAATGACGCCAGTTGGTGAAAGCCTTCGGTAAGCCAATTGACTGGTGTGTCTTCTCTTCTCTCGATAAAAGTGAAAGTAAGAATGGAAATATGGAATGTTCGGACAATGTTTGGACCTAGTAAGGCTGCCCAGATTGCAAAAGAGATGAGAAGGTATCACATTGAAGTGTTAGGAATTTGCGAAAGCAGATGAAACGGAAGTGGACTCTCCAAACTGTCAACTGGAGAATCAATAATCTACTCCGATGTTGTCACCTAGACGACAACCATGAGCACACGGGGGGAGTGGCTATCATGATGTCCCCAACAGCATCGAAGGCTCTCCATCATGCAGTGGGAACCAATCTCCTCCAGGATCCGGATCATGACACCAAGATTCAAATCAAAAGGGAGGAAAGTCACAATCGTACAATGCTACGCTACCCACCTACAAATAATGCAGATGGAGAGAAGAAGGAGGAATTCTACAGATAACTGCAATCAGCACTGGAAAAGACCCCACCCTAGATGGCGACATCAAAATTCTAATGGGTGATATGAATGCCAAACTGGGAGGGGACAACACAGGAAGAGAACTAACCATGGGTAGAGAAGCGCTAGGTGAAATGAACGAGAATGGAGAACTGTTTGCAGGCTTCTGCGCATTCAACGATTTGGTGATTGGAGGCCAGGTAGTGTGTACAAGCACAAGGATATTCACATGGGAGCAACATGGATCTGATTTCACCAGATGGACACATTAAAAATCAAATCGACTTCATCTCAATGTGAAGAAAGTGGAGACGCAGCCAACTGGACACAAGATCAGACCAAGGAGGGGAGCAGATGTAGGTTCACACCACTCACTGTTTAGTGCAAAGAACGTACCTTCAAAATCAAGTTGAAAGCCTTCAAAGAAGTTGATGATAGATCACCCTTAAAGTTCAACACCCAGAACAGAAAGTGAACTGAAGGACGAAACTACGAGGGGCATCTTCACATCAGCTATCAGGAAAAAATGGGAGACACTAAGTAACATCCCTGAAGAAACCTGCATGGAAGAACACTGGAACTCTTTGAAAGCCATGTGGAGGAAACCCGCATAACCGTGTTAGGAAGAAAGAAGAAGCAAAACAAGGAGTGGATCTCCACGGATACATGGAAGCTGATAGAGGAGGGAGAGGAAGATGGCGAATCAGAAGATGAATCAGTGCAAGGATGAACGACGAGAAGAGGAACTGAGTACAATGTATAAAACACTGGACAAAGAAGTGAAGAAGAGTGCGCGCAAAGACAAAAGACACTTCAACGACACGCTTTCGAGTGAGGCAGAATAGGCTGCTAATAGGAGAGACAGAGACCTGACAACACTATATCAAATAACCGGGTTACTATCTGGGAGGGAAGAGATCAACACAGATGAAACCAATAAAAGATAGTGCAGGAAACGTGGTTACCAAAGAGAAGAAACAAAGGAAACAATGGGCTGACCAGAAGCTCTTGAATCCACCACCACCTGCAACTCGTCCAGAAATACCGCCAGTAGCCCGGTCACAGAGCTGACAAAAGCAGAAGTCCTGAAAGCCATAAAGTTGCTGAAATGCGGGAAAGCGGCAGGACCAGATGGAATTCCGCTGGAAGTGCTGACAGCAGACGCAGGGACAACAGTGGACACACCTACACCACTATTGCAGGAGGTTAGCAAGGAAGGGAGGGAAGGTACCTAGTGATTCGAAGAAGGGCTACCTTGTCGAACTCCTGAAGAAAAGCTACCTAAGTCTTCGCAAGAACTGGAGCGGAATCATTCTCCTGTCTACCCCAAGGAAAATACTAGGCCGCATTATCCTGAAAGACTGAAAAGTTCTCTGAATTCAACTGGATTACATCCGGAACAGGCTGGCTTCACGAAGAATAAATCATGCGTGGACCAAATTGCAACGCTGCAATATACATCACCATGGAATAGAGCGAAGAATAGCAGTCAACCCAACCGCAACTTCATCGATTTTGAAGAGGCCGTCGACAGCGTCGACTGAGAAGTAACTTGGCAACTGCTGCTTCAACGCTACGGAGTACCACAAACCTTTATCAGTCTCATTCAACAGCAGCTATATGCTATATGTTTCTACATGCCAGGTGATTCACAATGGAAAGCTCAGTGATGCCTTTGAAGTGAAGACAGGAGTAAAACAAGGTTGCCTACTATCATCCATGATATTCCTGATTGTGGCCGACTAGACTGCAGTAAACTGTGAGGAGCGAGAAGGTGGAGATACGCTGTCTGGACCCATGAAAAGACTCCAGAAGAAGATTTGGATTTCTCAGCCGATGATCATTTATGTCTAATGTCTTGTCACACAAACTCAAAGATCTACAGGTGAAAACTAACAAGTTGTCAAAAGAGGCAGCAAAGGCGGGACTGACTCCAGGTGAAAGTAGAGAAGACAGATGTGATGAAGACACCCAACCAACAACAACAACAAGCACCAATCACCACTAACGGGAGAAACCTGAAGGAAGCAGTCTCTTTCACCTATCTAGGCAGCACCGTTTCAACTACAGGTGGCACAGGGACAGATGAGGACGTCAAAACCAGGATCAGAAAGATGTCAAGACAGGCCTTCATTACCCTGAAATCAGTGTGGAGATCTGCTGCACTGCACTGCACTCAGCATAAAGCGTGGACAAGATCCGGATTTTCAACACTAACGTCAAGCCAATCCTTCTATGTGATGGTTCAGAAACTTGGCGGGTTACGAAAGCAGTCCCAACAAACTTCAGATATTCATCAACAGCTGCCACCTACGCTCACTCGGTACTGAAGATCAGATGACTAGAATAATAAGAATAAGCAACACGGAACTCTGGCCTGGCAATAAACTAACAACGAACCCATCGCCCAAATATGCAGAAGAAAGTGGAGATGGATTGGGCATACACTGATAAGACCATTCGGGGACATCACGCACCAGGACAGGCTCTCGCGTGGAACCCAGAGGGGAAATGAGAAGTTGGGCGTCCGAATGTGACATGGAAGAGATCATGTGAGGAAGAGATGAAAGGTTATGGGCAGTGGTGGAGCCAGGTTGAAAAGACTGCAGAGAAGAGTGAAATGGTGACGTTCCACTAGGAACCCAAAGGACAAATAATAAAATAAACAGTTGAAATAAAACTTACTCGTATGCTTCACGCATTTTCATTCGACAAGAGTACATAAGATAAGCGATTGCTAGAGTAGGTGATCGAGATATCCAGCTGAACAATGAATTAAAACTCGTCCATGAACTGTTTTAGCTGAATCTAGAAATAAAAAAGTTTATTTGACCTCATAATTCTACTAAACAGTACATAGGTTTTAAAGACAAAAATAAATAAATAACTTCATTGGAAATTACTTGAGTCTTGAATAATTTTAGCATTTTGACATTTTGGGCTTGGTGAAAATAACCTTGAAAATAGCCTTCGAAACCTAGCCATAAATAACGGGAAACAGTATAATAAATATTGCAGTTCTGAAGCTCAAGTAGACAAGAGTATGTAATCAAAATCCTATTACGGTTATGGTGTTAATTTATAAAATTACCGGCTGGTGAAAATGAGTAGATATATTATACAGTTTCATATTTGCTTGTTTGTTTTCTATCGGTTGCCCATAATTCTGACGAAATGGTTCATTATTCATTGAACTGGAAATGTGTTCGCTCTTTAGCATCAAAATCAAAAACGTTTTCACTAACCCTGTTTTACTTATTATTTCTGCTTCTAAACACTTTTGCCTACCTAGATATCAGTATTTTTTCATTTAATTTTCTTGTGAAATATGAACTGTTGCAGCTTGCGCACGGTTCTATGTTGATTTTCCTGTCTATTTGAGTGTTTATAACGTTCATGCATAGTTCACAGGTTTATAACTATTTTAAACTCCATATATATATATATATATATATATATATATATATATATATATATATATATATATATGAACGTTATAAACACTCAAATAGACAGGAAAATCAACATGGAACAGTGCACAAATTGTATCAGTTCAAATTTTCATATTTCTCAAGGAAATTAGATGAAAAAAATATTGATATCTAGGTAGGCAAAAGTGTTTAGAAGCAGAAATAATAGGTAAAACAGGGTTAGTGAAAACATTTTGATTTTGACGGCGATTTTATCTTTAAGCTAGTATTCATCATCATGGACTGACATCAGTTAGAGAACCATTGAAAACCTAGAAGTACTGGACATATGTTTTGTCCTAGTTTAGGACTCTGCAGCACTGCGCGCCCACGACCCAGTTGGGAATCAACTCAGGAGCTTCAGGTTTCACTGCGAACGTGTTAGCCATCCAGCCACTGGGTCAGAATTCAATGGTCCACAGTTTTATGCTCCTAGCAATTTGCGATATAGCGCGACTATCACCCAAGGTTTTCGCTTTTCTAATATTTTGTATTTTCCAATTTATGATACGTTACGTTATGTGCCATTTCTCGACTTTTCATGACTGAAATACGTTACTCTATATTTATCCAATGTACCTAGTGTAATTTTTAGGCGGTTGACACATTACGAGAACTTATAGAATACAATGTTATTTTATTCTGAAATAACAAATTAGTTACCTATAAATGCAAAAGCATCTTTGAAATAAGGTGTCATGAGGTCAGTATAATTGTCATTCACAGGAATGTGGTGGAAATTTTGCTTTGGAATATGTGGTGGAATTCCTCCTTCAAGAGACACATTAACAATGTGCGTAATTCCATACTGTTTGCAAATGGTCAGTGAATTAGCATCCTCTTGGCTACCCAACACTAAATGCGGTAGAATTGGAGACGGGCGAGGTGATGTACTTCCAGCGCTACCAACCTTCGTTTCCATAACCGGTTTTGCACGATTTAAATTAGAATCAGAACTGAAACTTTAGACACATAAAACCAATTTCATCGATTATAATAAAGCAATGTTGGAAAATTTTTTTTACTGATAAAGAAATAAAACAAAATCAAGATGGTAAATATAACAAGGCTAATTTGATCGATTCATTGATTTTTCGGTAGAACAACTTATCCACGAAATATTTAGGAAATGTCCTGACAACTGACTTCCCAGAAGTTATACTAAGTTATAGAAAGTCCGTTGAGAAGTCATCATTTCGTAATGTCTTAAAACAACATATCGCAGGGGTAATAGTTAGTTATCGGTGGATGAAGAGAGTAACAAAGACAAGTTTAAGCACACAAGACCGTATATACAATTCTAATGATATTTATACTATGATTATTTCTACTTACAAGCATAATTTATACGTATTTATATCGCCCAAAAAACCCATCATGACGCTTTACTTTATACAATAAACTTATTTTCTTTACTGTGCGTATCAAACTGCTACGCATGTTGATGAACCTTTAATCTGCGTATTACGTGAAAGCTGAACAATCTGAGCACCAGGTTACTAGTTGCTATGCTCAGGATTTATATTTTATTTAGGCCATCCTAAAACAGACAAACAAAGTTCTAATGAAACCAACACCAGTCATTCAACCCAACAAATATGGCTATCGTGGAAAATGCACTGAGAACTAAGTTGAATGACCAAATTGAATTTAACCAACACATTGTAGGAATTTAAAAACTGAATTAATGATATGTTTGCACCTTAAGGATTTGAAAAACTCCGTTGAAGACGGATCCTTCGAGTGCACTGGGAAAGGAACTGAACTAACTCTAAATGAAACGGAAATTGAACTGATAGGCTGGGTTAGTGGAATGCAGGTTGAATTAGTTGCAGTTGTAGCAGTAGATGCAGATGAGATCTCTGATCCACATGCTTCCTGATGAATAGAGATCCCAGTAGAAGAATCAGTACAGGACGAATGACATAGGCAAGCATCTAGTATACGCTCCAAGTGGCAGTCATACTGATGATATTCTGCAACATCTTCACCCACAACCTTTCCGTATTGAACCAACATAATTCAGGAAACGATGCCTGAAATCCCACATAACCTCCTGTTTAGAAGGATGAACGAAATCAGAAAAGTTAATGCAGCGATGCAAGAAGATAAATGCACATGAATTTTAATTTATGATAAGCTTTATAATACAAAACGAAATTAATAGACACGAATACGCTTCAATGATAAAATAAAAAAATGAACCAGAGCTATGCGGAAACTCACATACACGAGTAGCTTCTCAAGCAGACAACTTCCAGTGTCAGTCGAGAAATTGGAGAAAGATACAGATTAGTCACAGTAACGCAGTAACGAACAATCTATCCAAACTATCAATATTAGTTGTTCAAAAGGATACAAGTTTCTGAAACAGTATGGTTGAGGACAGTCAACAGAAATTAGAAACTAATCAACCTTTCATGACTTTATTTACATCTGGCACCTGACTATCTCTTCATACAGAGGTATTTCTTTTATACCTTTTAGCACTGTCTTCATGCTTCACCTAGAAATGCTATGTACTTTGAAGTTCAGAAGTGAATACGTTACAGTCTGCACAGATGTATACAAAGGATTAAGAACAAGTGTTTCCATTATGCATCATTCATTTTACAGCCCTATTATTGCGTAAGAAGTAGCTAGTTTGTCAATGTAAACAAATAAAATAATTTAGCATAGTGACTCATTACAATCTGAGCGACATCGTAACACAGAAAACCGGTTATCTCTAGTGCTTAAGATGAATAATTTAATAATAGTGTTCAACAAAAAACTAACACCAATCTAACCAAAATGTCCTTGAAATATGGCCATTTAGTGGTAAGAGGTCAGCCACAACAATTAATCATGCTACAAAAATCTCTGGCTCAAAATCTATCAAAAATGAACGGGCAAAATATATTTTTGTGAATAAGTAGGTGACTACCAAAAGAGCAAAAAACCGGAGCTACGATCAGTGCCCTAGTTTTCAGGGAAAACTAACTGACCAAAGTGATGAGGAAGTTATGCATTTCCACTTTATTTTTGTGTTTTACTTAAAGCCTCCGCATAGGTCTTTAGGCATATTTATCAGCTTTACAGAAAAAAAATTGGAACAGAAATAGCGGTAAACGGGAGATATTGGAATTACGATGCATTCTATCCTATCCAAAGGTGGGGTCTAGGTTGTACAAAATGGAGCATCAATCACCAGTTGACCCAAATATCTAAAAGAGCATAATGGTAGCTTATGTTTCATAATACGACCGTGACTAAAAGTCATGAATTTCATGGACGATATATCTCAACATCTCGTTAAGGCTTTCATGCAACCTTAAACACGATTGACCATAGACGGTGACACGCCGTCATAGATATTTAGCTAAACTCCAGCACGTAGTAGTATAACCAGTAAAACGTATCTCTGGTTAAAACATTAAGCGATATGATTGAAACGCTGACAAACAAAATTTTCTGGTTACGGAAACCTATTAACTGTCTGAGAATAACTTTTTAAATATTTAGGCTAAAATGTTCACACTGAAAGCGTTAACCAAACCTTCAGAAGGCGAAGGGAACCAAAACGGCAAAATAAATAGATAAATATTGACTATCCACTTAAATAAGACATCCCTAAAGGCTATTTATAAACAACGATGAACCCTATTTAATTGTACCCTCGTAGAAAGATGTCTTCGATAAAATTTAGGAACATTACTCCTGAGGCATTAAATCCACTACTCACATGTTACATCCACCAATAAGTAAGAGGGTGATGCAAATTCCTTATTTACATTACAGACCCAAACTTATCATGACTATTTGGATGTTAGGTAAATTAAAATACTGTTGAACTTAACACGAAATATCCACTGAACTTAGGAAGCCAGAGACATAGGGTAAAGCAGATGTTACATAATTATTTCTAAATGAGCAGAGCAATAGTGTCGCTCTAGTTCAGGTGACCAAAACATTAGAGATCCCTTATCGTGGACAGAGTGGGAAAGCTTGAAACTGATCTTAGTCCAGAGGATATATCCACTATTTTATTCACAGAATCGACCATATTATTATGCGAACTTGCTATCACTCTCTATAGCTTTTTTTACTTTTTAATTTCTGTACTTATTTTTCACAGTTGTTATCGACAGTTTGAGAGGTTAAAATGTTGTATTTAGGGAGTTAAGAAAACCTGCAAACTGATTTATTTTGTAGATATGCTTAGAAGCTGAATGACCCGAGAATTTCGAGAAAACAAACTGATAGCTTCAATTACAGCTTTAATTCTATGCAAAGACTGAAAGAGTATCACCATCGGCTTCGGTTTATTTTTACTAAACCCCTCAAACTCATTTTCATGTTCATACATCCAAAACCCACCGTAGCTCATAACATAGCTAGTTTCAACTGATTGTCGCACTGTAGCAATGTCGTATCAAACAATTGACTTGCGTAACGACAAAAACTCATAAGAATGAAGACGTAACTTGTTGGCTTAAGAAATAGACTTCCAAGTAATGGGTCCTGAAGTCAAAGCCCGCTCAACCTACTTCGATGTGACTAGGCATCATAAGCCCTCACACGAAAGTCTGGCTCACAGTCTAGTACAAACATGTGCCGGGTTGTTATATTAGTTTAATTGAAGTAAAAGGCCATTTATTTAGTATACAAACTTCATTTACCTATTTATACTTAGAAAGTGAACAAAACATTTCGGACTTGCATAGAGGTATGAAGGAGGGAATAACCAGTCAAATTTTAGACCATCCAGAAGTTTGTAGTTACGCCTCATGCATACCCGATGTGGAAGTAAGACGATGATTTAATAACACTATCCCTGCAACTAATTGAGGAACTAGCATAAATGTTGGGTACGATAAAACTATCTATGAAGAGCTTAATTATCACATCTGTAGTGGCAACAGATTTTGCATGGATTAAGTCACAATCCACACTGGTATGTAGTACTTACTGAATAAACAGGCTGAATACAATCTAATCGAAGGAATATCGAGATATGGTAGCAGTCTGATAACAGATTACTAACAACAAATAAAATTTATGAAGACCAGTGCAAGTCTAAGTAACCGGCTTTCTTCCAAATGCCAGAATTCAGCGGTTGCAGACTGCAGACAACAAGGCTTAAAATCGGCCACACTGATGCTAAACCTCAGACATTTCAATACTGCATGCAGAATTGTTTCCCACTTATTCGGATCCTAATTTCGGTTCACGTTAATGTATTGTTTCCGTTGATTTTCTGTCTGTGCTTTTTATACGCTGCATTCTGAAGCAAAAGTTCAAGGATTTAAAATTTCATGAGGAGTACATTTTGGAGCCAGTCATTTGTGATTGAAATAGAAAGATAATTTTCAGAAAAGAATACTACATCATTAGAAAGGCATCTTGACATGGTTGATTATAAATTGAAGCACTCACAGCTGATAAAACCAGCTCAAACTAAGGGTGAAGAGTTCATTGATGACAAACAACCTAACTACTGTCTAACATGATGTCTATCAGCGGTGCGAAAAGTGAGACCTATTACTAGTGAGACTTGAGCAGACCGTAAGAATGATGGCTTAAGCTGATATTCATATCAGAGCACAGATGAATTCTGAGCTACACTACCCAATATATAAACATCTATTGTGGATGTCTCGTAGATATCAACCAGTGACTCAACAAACGTGATGACACGTTTGAGGTCGGGAAATTGATTTTAGAAGCATGGTATCTCATTGGAACTCTGTTGTAGAGATCTCTAGGAGACTTAAAGGCTTCTAATAAATACATGGGATTTGGTGATCGTTCCTCAAATACTGAATAACTCATTGTACATTCCTTACATCTATCAGCAAAAACTTGAAATTAAGAATGTATTTTCGACGGTGTGATTTTATTATCCTTAATAAAACAGCATAAAAGACAAATGTAGCATGACAACTGTAGTTTCAAGCATCAGAAAGACCGATGGTAATGAAGCAGCCATGGCATACAATATGGAATTGCTTTTTATTTCAACTGGATAAAAACAAAATTAATTTATAATTACCTCAAGATGGACAAAATAACTCTTTATGAAGTAACCATTAATATCAAGGATATTTAAGCGATCAGTCAAATGGCTGATGCTTGACTGCAGTGACACACAAAGTTCAATGGTTCCTGCAATTTCTCAATATTAGAGTCAATCATCTTAGAAACAGGTAGAAATGAATTCAATTGAGATTTTGGAGGGTTCTCACATTTCAGATTCCATTAATATACCTAAGACAAAAGTAAAAACTAGTAAGATTTACTTTTAGCTTCCAACCTGAGTAGCTTGGAAGACATTTCTTTATTTAACTAGTATGTTCCACCACTACAAGAGTCAAACTAAAAAAATCAAGTTATTACATTACACTGAATGTATCCAGAAGTAAATCCGACAAGAAGTAAGTGATTTCATGTCTTAATCAAACTTAGTATGACAGAGTACTTGCTTCATTTTATCACAAATGGTATGGTATTGTGAAGAGCGGAGAGGTTAAGGAAAACCAACATAGCATGATAACTAATGCGGTGGATTGCAATGTAGGGTCAATTTAATGCAGCGACGAAAAAGAGGAGAAACAGTTTAAACTGAGCGACTTGCGACTTCTATTACCTTCTCTATACGTTAAGCAAATAATATACTGTAAGCTTCAACCTTAACCAAGCACAATATTTAGTCACGAATATGTACCAGATGCTCAACCATTTATTAATAAGAGAAAAGATACACTTCAGATGGTTATCACTCACCTTTCAAGAGGAAAACTACTGGAAACTTTAAGGTCAGCTGTGTTAGAAGCGAAAACAGGAAGCACTCCGGTCTTAGATTACTCAGAGAGTCAATGAATTCATCGTAAACGATAATAGGCACCTTTTGTAACTCAACAAGATTCCCGAAGCTTGTCAGTTTGGATAAAAGTATGTCAAGTCGGACCTTATAATGTCTATATGCTGAAATTTGCAACCCACTTTATTCTGTGAAAACTTTCTTTGGAAAGCTCTGT